CATTGTAAGTGCTTTCCAGGTACCTGGAGGACACTCTTCTGGTCATTCAGGTCTCAGTTGAAGAGTCAACTCCTGAGAGGCCCTCCCTGGCCATCCCGACTAAAGTCCTTGCTCACTCATTTTCTACCACCCGCTGTGTTTTCTACATGGCATGGGTCACTTCCTAAAATCTTCTTTTGAATTTAATTGTGGCTTCTTTGCCATCTGTCCAAGCCTCCTCACCTCGTGAGCTCCTTAGGTCAGAAGCTGTGTCCCCCATGCCTAGCACAGTGCCTGGCACACAGCAGGTGTTTAGCAAATACTTGGTGAGCAAATGGATTCCAGGCAGGCAGAGGCCATTAGGGGCTCTAAGGCATCTGGGACACCCCAAACTGAGCCTCAAGGCTGCTGGGTCAGAGACAGCGGAGACCAACAGCGCTGAAGTCAGACCCAAATTCTGCTGTTAATAGCTGTATGTTCCTAGGCAAGTTGCCTAACATTTCTGAGTTTTCTTTTCACCTGGGAAGTGGAAGTAAGGCACCTACTTTACTATTACTGGATCAAGGAGTCAGGGGAGAGGGGCAGAGGGCCTGCGTTTCAGCACTGTGAACTCACACTCAGTAACTGTTTGTTAATGAATGAATGGCCCCGGAAGTGTGAGATTGATATGAAAGTGTCTGTGATGTCACTGATGTCAGAGACCATTATTTCCTGAAGCACAAAGAAAAAATTTTAAAATATTGCCAATGAAGCGCTAACCCATTGCTTATATATTGCCCAGAATTTTAATCTTACACTTACTCAAATATCCCATTTTGGCCTACGAAGACATAGATTTTTGCCTGGTTGTGTGGCTCAGTTGGTTAAGTGTCCTCCCATGCACCAGGAGGTCACTGGTTCCGCTCCAGTCAGGGCACATGCCCAGGTTGTGGGCTCGATCCCCAGTAGGGGGCGTGCAGGAGGCAGCTGGTAGATGTTTCTCTTTCACCAATGTTTCTATCTCTCTCGCCCTCTCCTTTCCTCTCTTTGAAATCAATAAAAACGTATTTTTTAAAAAGACATAGATTTTTATCACAGATCACTGTTGAGTTTACATAAAGGGAGACAGACTATCAGAGAAATCAGTGGGTGAAGGTGTTCCTAAAACTTCTTTGAGGTCAGAGTCGCCTCTGAATGGATCCCCTTCGGCATCTCACAGCCCCACCCCCCTTGGCCACAGCCTCACAGGTGGCATATGAACCCAGATTTGAGAAGTGGGAAAATGTTGCCTTAGAGCCGATGATATTCAGTAATATAGTGTGAGAACTAGGACAAAAGGAATTTCTGAAGTCACACAAGTGAGAAGCCTGTTGCAAAGTGAGAGAGGGGTCAGCAGGGAAGGTCCTTCCAGGTCAGGGGCCTCCACCAGGCCTTACTTCGAACAGAAAGTGGACCGCCTTCACCTGCACTGAGTGTGGAGTGGTCCAGGGGCAGGGCCATGGAGCCCTTGGTGGGAGCCGGGCTGACCTAGCCCTCACAGCCCGGCGGCTGCAGTCACCTTGCTGCCTGCCCACCACCTGGGAGTGAGGATCGGCAGCTCCCTATTTCCTTCAAGTGGGGCTGAGGGGACGGTGTGCGAAGTCTCCTTCAGCTCCTAGAGTCTGGGCCAGGCTGAGCTGGAGGGCGGGTGGGTGTCTGTGGTCCTCCATAGCCCGGTTTTGGCCCCTGGAAACCTGGGCCTGAAGAGGCCTTCAGGGAAGAGGCTCTGGGTATCAACAGGTCCCCTCTGGACAAGGGAACTCCAGGTGGAATCAGCGATGTCACTTTGGGTCAGGGGCTCCCCTGGAGTGAAGAACCGGAATCAGGCAGCAGGGCAGCTGAAAGTGGAAGGTGGGCCAGGTTTCCCTCGGAGCCGGGAGGCCCCGGAGGTGCGGTAACTAGCCTGGGCCACGCTTCTTTCCTTCCCCCTTATGGGCTCCCACAAGTGATCCTCCAGGCGAATCCACCGCAAGGGAGGAGTAAACCAGAGCAACCTTTATATTTTACAAAATAGGGCGGCTGGCGGAGGAGGATGGGAGCGCGCTCCGCTGTGCCTGTCACCACCTGGCGGTGCCTGCTCTGTGCAGACCCAGCCACAAGTCAGAGACTCTGAAGTGGACTTGGGACCTCAACACTCCGCCCACCCCCCCCACCCCCTAACCCCACCCCCACCCCCCTCCCCCCTCCCTCCCCCTCAGGCTCGCCTCTCCCCAAACCTTCCCTGCGCACAGGCTAGAGCTGAAGGCGCTTGAGCTAGGCTCCCACTCCCCTCGACTTGGTCAGGTTCTGAGGCATAGGCTGGGGATGAAATCCCCCTCCCAGACCCTTCAGTCAACCCTCCCCCAAAATCTGCCCTAAGGCTCACCCCCCCACACACACACACTCCACCCCCAACCCCACCAAGCACAGAAGTGTAAACTTCATGTGAATTTGGGGCACTGCCGCCAAGCTAATCCGGGTGCTCAGCCATCACGCAGCTGGGAAGTCCTGGCAGCCTCCCCCTACCCCACCCTACCCCACCCCAGCCCCCGACGTGCTCCCCCCATGATCCACCCCACCCACTCCAGGCCAAGGCTTACTCAAGATGCCCAAGCCAGCTTCCTCCCCACCCTCCAGCCCCCCTACGCCCTACCGCCCTGGGCTGGGGAAGCGAGGCACAGCAGTGACCTCCTCGGTGATGGCCAGCTTGTGCCATCTCTGGGTTTCATTCCCTAGGACCCTGGGTAGAAGAGCTATGTGCTGTGGGCGGAGGGGAGAGGGCAGAGGACCTTCTCTCCCTGAAGTCCGGGCCTAGGTTGAGGGGCATGGTTGCTGGCCATCTGGGAGTAGGCTTCTACGCTGGTGGCCCGGCTGGCCAGGGGTGAGTGGCACTCAGGGCGGGCGCAGTGTCCCCTGGTGGATGGGAGGCCGCCCTGTACCTGGAACTGGGGTTGTGCGGGCTGCGGTCCACAGCTACATCGCTGACCTCCAGGTCTTCACTCTCCAGGAGCAGGTCATCGGCCTCCCGGAGTCGCCAGCAAGGAAGCCCCAGCTGCCTGGACAGCCGGTGTCTGGCTGGTCTTCCCGTCCTGGAGGGCTGGGTCTGCCAAGCTTGCCCTGTCCCCTGTGCCCAAGAAGTGACGGAGACCTCTCCCACCTGGTGGCACCGGAATCTAGACCTCCCTGCTTGGGGCCCAGCTCAGGCTATCTGGTGGGCTGTACTCCATGGACCATTGGGGCCCCTATGCTTTGGTGCAGGGTTCCCTGGACACATTCCCCCTCCCCCGCCCCCCCCACACACACTCACACCCTCTCAAAGCCTGGTGCTAAGCAGCCCATTAGTCCACCCCAGTGAGTGGCTGCCTTGGGGAAACCCTAGAACCACAGGGTACTCTGCCTACGGGCATGCTGCTCAGATTCAGTAAAACCTGCAGACCTGGAACAGACTGCAGACTGCGGAGAACCGGGTCAGAACCCCTCCTCTCTCCTCATGGACCCCCCTTCCTTCTACAACCCTGCGAGGTTGACAAAGGCTATAGCTGGAACCTGCCCCCCAGGCCCAGCCCCAGCCCAGACAGAACTTCTAGGCCTTCACTTCCCTCTTCGCAGTGAGGGGAGTGAGTGCAGTGGCTGCCTCACTTGCTAGTCCGGGCCTGGAGAGGGAAGGGTCCCAGGGAACAGAGAGTCACGCCACTGAGTGGACGCAGGGTAGAAGGAAGTGCCTGGGTCCCCCCCCCCCCCCCCAGTCTTAAACCTTGAGGTGCAAGTGCAAGTCAGGAAGGGTAGGTCAAGCCACGATTTGGAAAGGAAGCCCTGGCCACTAGGAGTGGGGGCCATCGCGGTGGTTCTCACGTTCTGAAACGCAAGCCTGCCTCTGAGCGTGGTGTCCCGAGCATTCGCACCTGCGAGGACCTGGCTTCGAATCCTGATCCTGCTTGAGGAGCTGCAGGGCCAGCGCGCTTCGGTCTCTCCCCCAACTTCAAGCAGCAAAGTGGCCACGTCCCAGCCCCATACTGTGGCCGTAGCCCGGGGCGAAGAGCAAGAACTGGAACCCACACTCGATACCCCAGCCCGGCTAAGACCGGGAGAAGGCAACTGAAGCTTTCCCTGGAGGAGAGGGCGCCCGCGGGCACGCGCTGCCGAGCTGTGCCCCTGGCCAGGGCGCCCTGCCCGAGCTCCGCAGCTCGCAGTCCTCGGCCCGAGTGGGGAACTCTCTCGGCCCCAGGCTCCCGCCAGGCGCCGCCGCCCTGCGCACGCCCGGGAGGGAGAGCGCGGAGCTGGGAGCGCGGAGCTGGGAGCGCGGAGCTGGGAGCGCGGAGCTGGGAGCGCGGAGCTGGGAGCGCGGAGCTGGGAGCTGGGAGCTGGGAGCTGGCGCCGCCCGGTCGCCAGGAGCTGCCGCTGGTGGCGGCCTCTGCGCGGACCTCCAGGCCGGGGCACTCATCCGCCTCGGGAAGGGCTGCTGGGACCGGCACAGTGCGTCCTTCAAGCCCCAGGAAACCGAATCGACCGGAGCGACTGTCGGTGCCCGGTCACTTCGGGCGTGAACCCTGCGCGGCCTGGGGCTCTCGTTCCTCGGACGGACCCCTCTAGCCCGGCTGCTCGGCCGCTCGCCCCGGGCGGCAGTCAGACCGGCCCCGCGCCGGGCGGGAGCGACTCCGCGGACCCTGCGCCGAGCCGCCGCCGCTCAGCGTGGGCCGTGGGGAGGTCGCGGGCCGCTCCACGTGGCCGGGAGCAAGGCGGTTCCAGCAGCCGCTGGGAGGCCCTCTTATCTCGCCGCCCCTCCCCGCGCGGTCTCAGAAGCCCCTCATTTAGCTTCGCTGTGTCATAAAATATTTTATTGGAAAAAAAAAATCACCGTTTTCGCAAGAGAGGGGTAGGGGCCCCGCACGTCAGGGACCGGCCTCAGGCCGAGCCGCCGGGCTGTCCGCGCGGGGTCTCGCCGTCCCTGCCGCGCGGAAACCGGCGTGTGCCTGCGGCGTCCGGGCCGAGGGCGCCCGAGGCGGGTGGGTGCGGTGGGGAGCGGGGCGTGAGTGCGCGTGGAGCGCCCGGCGCGCGGAGCTCTGCGCGGAGGCGACTCTGCCGCGGTGAGTCTCCAGGGGAGGCCCGGGGCGCGCTGGGGCCCGGGTTTGGCTTCGGGGTCTGTGTCCTTCCTGGTGGGCCCCTCGCTGCCCGAATCCAAGGTCATCATCGCCGTTTGGAAAGCACACAGCGTGGAGGCGGCTTCTCGCGGGCGCAGGGGCCGCAGTGGCGCCAGGGTCCCCGCACCGCACGCTCAGTCCTCGCGGCCCTTGTCGCTGGCCTCGCCCGGCGCCTCCGCCGGCTTCTCCGGCTTCTCCGCTTCCTTGGCGCGCTCCTGCTCGCTCAGCTGCTCGCTGGTGGGGATGGAGTTCTTCTTGGGCCGCCCCTTGGGCTTGGTGGGGGACTCCAGGCCGCCGCCCTGCAGCACCTGCGCGGGAGCCGCACGGTGAGCCGCTGAGCCCCCACCCTCGGGCAGTAGCTGCCACGTGCGTCTGCCGGGAAGCCAGAGGGTGCAGGGGGCACGAAGAAAGGTGGGCTGGGTGAGGGCACCAGAGAGCAGAGAGGGTCCCTTTGGACACCAGGCACCGAGGGCATGGGGAGGGAAGAGGGGTAGCTCCCACACTCACTATTTTCTTCCACTTCATCCTCCGATTCTGGTACCAAGTCTTCACCTGCAACTGACTCAGGCCCAGGGACTCGGCGAGATCTATTCTGGAAAGAGCGGGGCGCACCCTCAGCAGGGCGAGCAGCCCCCCTCCCACTGCCTGCTGAGCTAGGCCTGGCCGCCCTACCTGTCGGGTGTGGAGAGGTACTTCTGCTTCTCGAAGCGTTTCTCCAGGCCCATCAACTGCAGCTCGGTGAACACCGTGCGGCTCCTCCGCCCCTTCTTGGCTTTGGTGCCCGGCTCCCCGCTGCCCGGGGCCTCCAGCTTCCCGCGGAGCTGCAGCTCCAGGGGCAGGTGCGGCGAGCCCGCCACGCTGGGCAGCCCAGGCCCGGCGGCCAGCAGCGCGGAGCCCAGCCCGGAACAGCCGAGAGGCGCCAGCGGGAATTTAAACACCGCCGCCTGCTCGGCCTTCAACACGGCTGCGGGGAGAGAATGGGGAGCCTCGTGAGCGCAGGCCCCGCTTCTTCTCTGGGAGGCGCCCGGGCATCCTGCTGCCACCGCAGAGGACTAGCGCCTGGCCGTGCCACCCGGCACAAACCCTCCTGCCAGGCCGAGAAGGGAGAGATTCAGCCGCGCCTGGGGTGACCCGCTCCAGCGCCAGTGTCCCCCAGTCTGGGAACAAGGGTCTCCCCCACCCTGGGCGCTGCCCTGCGCTCCGCAGGCGGGTGCCCCCTTTGAGATTTCGGGATTCTCAATGAAAAGGTTTGAAGCTCAGAGGTGCACAGTGTGCTTCACGGAAAAGGGAAACCAAGAAGAAAAGGAAGTCGAGGGATAGGAAGATGAGCTTCGCAGCCAAATCCGCATTGCTGCTTTGGGGAAAGAACACCGAGGGGGTGAACAGATTTACTCCTCTGTGTGGGCAGGACAGCCAGGCTGCAGGCACTGGGTCTGCAGCAGGGGTAGGCTGGAACACTTTCTGAGAATTTCAAAACACCCCACGAATCCTGAAACTGGTCTTCCTGTGTTCTCTATTTAGACTGGACCCCGGGGCGATGTTTCCATTTCATCGGCTGTAAATGATTTTTTGCCCGCTTCAAACGAATTATTAAAACCACAGTGCCGCTAGAGACAATGCACAGCGGTGAGTCTGCATCAAAGTTGGACTCAAAACGAACAAACGGGCTGAGGCGCCCAGCGGGAGGGCGGAGCGCAGGCTGGAGGGTCACGGGGCCAGAAAGATGGCTGGCAGGGCCCGGGTGCCACTGTGCCGGCCTCCCTTCCCCACGGGCAGCTCACTACGGGCAGGTGCGTCGAACAAGTCCTGAGGGCTGGCCAAGACTGGGGTAAGTGTGAGGAGAGTGCCAGAGGGAAGCAAGACACTTGGGGGAAGGTGAGAGACAGGGAAGACAGGCCCACCCTGTCGAGAAAGGCCCAGAGAGGCCAAAGTAGGGTGACGAGAACTGGGGAAAAGCCAGAAGAACAGGGGTGCGGTGGAGAGGACACTGTCTGGGCAAGTCTGACTCCGGCCCCATCAAGGAAGGAAAAGAACCCAGAAGGCAGGAAAGGCCCAGTGGGCAGCTCAAGCTCCACGGAGGCAGGCACAGCAGACCTGGAAGCAGAAGGGCCGGTGGGGCTGGCGGCGCTCACAGTCAGCCCTTGTCCCCAGGCAAGGCTAAGGGTGTGGGTGCTGCAGCAGAGGCCGGTATGCCTGCCTCCTGAGGCTCCGGGAGGCTTCGGGCCGGCTTGGGCCTGCGTCCGCTCCCCGCACAGCACTTGGAGACGCAGGCCTCTTCCCCGAGGTCCGGCTTCCCGCTAGGACAGTCCTGGCCACTCCCGGCCAGCTCTTTGCGGCGAAGGCCCAGGCGCCCGCGGCCGGAGGTCGCTTTGACCCGCAGTCTGATGTCAGCAGTACGGACCTGCGCCCGCGACTAGAATATGGGCTCGGTCCCGGGGCTAGAGCCCGCGGGGCATCCGTGAAGGAGCGAGAGAACACCCTCCCCGCGCGCCCGACCCGCGGGCACGAGGCCTGGCTCCAGGGCGCCCGGGCGCTTGCCCCTCCTCTTCCAGGCCGGGGCGAGGGCACGGCCCGGGGCCCACGCGCCCAGAGCTGCGTCCTCACGACGCGCGGCTCACCCCTCCCTCCCAGCCGCGGGTGCCCAGGCTGCGCACGTACCCAGGTGGCTGTGGAAGGGCCGCGCGGCCAGCAGCGCCTGCACGCCGAACTTGAGCAGCTCGCCCGCGGCGGCGGCGGCAGCGGCAGCGGGCGCGGCGCCCTTGGGCCCTGGGGGCTCAGTGAGGATCTCCTCGATCATGAAGCTGCGGTAGCGGTGCGGCCTGTGGTCGACGCAGCCCTCGGGCGGCCCGAAGCGCCCAGCGCCCGGCTCCCCCGGCCGCTGCATCGCGGCGCCCGCAGCTCAGCGGCAGCTGTGGCTCGGGCACAGGGCCCGCGCGGGGCTCTAGGCCGGCCCGCAGCTCCGGGCGGCGCGCGGGCGCCGGCTCATGCCCCCTCCCCCGCCGGCCGGCCGGGCGGAGGTGCAGGGCGCGGGCGGGGCTCGCGGGGTTCGGCCGGTCGGACCCGGGACTGCGCCCCCGCCCCGCGCCGCCGCGCCTCTAGCACGGCCGGCTCCGCGTCACCGCCCCGCCCCGCCGGCCCGCCCCGCCCAGCGCCGCCCGCCGCCCCCTACCCCACCCCGGGCTGAGCCCGAGGGAGGGCCGGAGAAGGGAGGAAGGCGGGAGAGAGGGGGCCTCGAGAAGGGTCGGCGGACCCAGACCGAGGGAGACCCAGCGGTGCGCACGCTCAGGAAGGAGAGAGCAGGAGAGAGCGGGAGAGGAGACCCCAGAGAAGGGAGCAGAGGGATCCAGAGAGGTGAGAGAGGGGCCACAGCGAGACAGCAAGGGCCACCCTGGATGCGAGACAGATGTGAGGGTGCCAGGGCCGTCAGCCCGTGCGCAAAAGAGACCGACAGGGGCGCGGGAGCCAACGGGGCAGTGACGTGCGGGCGGGCACAGAGGCAGGCAGGGCAGAAGGAGCGGGCAGTCAAGAAAGAGAGGGGACAGATAGGAAGGGGAGCGGCCTGAGCAAGGATTAAGGAGCCGGGAAGGTCCGGAGGGGGAGAGGCAAAGGCCACGCGGCTCGGCTGGGAAAGGGGTGTCTGTGCGCAACCTCCCGGCCAGGGCACTAGACGGCCGCCCGGCAGGGGTGCCGCGTAGGCAGGCGGGCAACTCCTAGAGCCGAGGCTGTACCTGTGCACCCCGACTCAGTTTACCAGGCTCGGCCTCATCCCCACTCCCCCCCGCTCCCCACTGCCCTGAGAGGAAAGCTTTCTCCTTCTGCAATCTGCTTATATTGCTCAGCGGTACGTGGACACGTCCTCCTTGGCAACCCCAGCGAACGGTGGGTGGTTGAATCACACCCACAGACAGAGGACGGGATGGAGGAGAGGAGAGGGAAAGGCTGCACTCTTCCTTTCGCCAGCTTCGGAGCCTCAGAAAACCGTTACTGGGCGGAGCTGGCTGAAGGACTACAGTATGCTATGGGAGCTTGGGGACAGATTCTGGAGTGAGGTGTCTCCTCTGTGAGCCTTAAAGTCCCCAACGTGATTGAGGAAGGCCTTAGCCCTCTCTTGCTCCTCCTCACCATTGCAGGAATATAAGCTCTAGCCATCGGGGAGGGGGCACATTACCAAACCTCCCCTCGGAACTTCTCTCTCTGCCCCTGCCACTCCAGGTCTGGCCACTGCCCCATCCTGGGGCCCCAGTGTCCTGACCTGTCCCAAGAAGATGTGACACTTGGCTCTAGTCGGGCTGTGAGGACTGCATGGGGGTCCTGCACCGGCTGGCCCCACAGGGTCTGCTGGAGAGAAGTACATAGTCCATTCACCAGGGCAAGGAGGAGAAGGTCAGGTGAAGGTGGATGGGGATGGATGTCCCTAGAGGCTAGGGAGGGTGCTGCCACCCTTCAGGAGTCCCCCGCCTGGGGTCCTGGGCCGCTTCTCTTTCCCATGTGCGCTTGGCCTGGGGCCTCAGGGGTCACTGCAGGAAATAGAGCCTACCATACCCAGGGCCCTGCCCGCCCAAGGTGATGCCGTTTCTGTAGCTCCAGCTGCTGGCCCTGAGCCGTGAGGCTAGCCCCAGGCCCTGGCATCAGCCCCAGTCTTTGTGTAGATTAGGAAATGGCCAGGATTCCTCGTCCATAGGGACAAAGAAAATGTCTTACCAGAGGCTCTGGTAAGACTAGGACCCCACGAGCCCAGCTGCCTCTCCCCCAAATTGTTAAGTGGCTTCCACTGGGGCCGCCCCTTTCTGAACCCCCCCCCCCCCCCCCCCAGCCATCATCAGGACAGGAAGGTGGCCTCCAGGTGCTCCACCCTTGGGTGGTTCTGTGAATCCCAGGGCTCTTCAGAAGGGATGGGCGATGGTATCCCACATGGGACAGGCCTCCCTCCTAGTGAGAGGTGGAGAGACCGTGGGCAGGGCCCTGCCGCCTTGGTTGGCCCAGAGGCCTCCAGGCACCAGAAAAGCCAGTGTCTCCTGGAGCCTGGGCAGCTCTGTGGCACCCCTCCACCCGTGTAGGGGTAGAGAGCTTTCTTTAGATGGGTTCTGGGGTGTCGGCCATGACAACCACCTACTTTCTCAGATGGGGAAATTGAGGCCCAGCAGGGTCAAGGCATTAGCCTAAGGACCACAGTGAGTAGGGCTGGTGTTCTCTTGCTTCCTGTACATATAGCATGGAGCTCCTTTTCTCTCCCCTCCCCTCCACCCCAGCAGGGCCCACTCGCTGTCTCCTCCTCTTCTTGCTTCCACATCTTCCCAAGGGAAAAGCCGGATGGTACTGAGGGTGGAGGGTCAGGCCCAGCCACCTCACTCCATCCCTTCCCCTCCTATTTAGGCCCCTGACTGAAGCCACCAGCTTTGAGCCATCTCTGCCCCCATGCAGGGGCTCGGATGCTGAAGGGGGAGCTTGGCTCCCAGATCAGAGGCCTTGGGGACCACGTTGATGGGCCCTCACCAAACCTATTATGCTCCTGGAGTAGGAGGTCCTTTTCATAATGGAGGCCTCACCTCCAGGTTTAGGAGAGTCAGAAGGCCCGCACAGGCCAGCCCGCACCCCATTTCCCAGCGCCCAGACTACAGAGTGTCTCCCTGCCCCCAGCTGCGCCAGGGCTTTTCCGGTGGCAGAGAGGCCGGAGCGGGAGGGCGGCCTTTGGGAATGAGGCCTGGGGGCTCCTTGCGGGGATGCCCCGCGGGCCTTGGCAGGCCCCAAGGGCTGAGACAGCCCGGTCTCCACCCGGACCAGGCCCCCACCCCACCCCCAGCTTCCGTGCCGAGCAGATCTACGACCACCTCCTCCGGACGCAAATAAACCCCTTTTAGACGAAAAAAGTGCGCACAAACAGCCTCCTTTTCCCCAGGGACTGACGCGTTGGCGCCGGCGAAGGGCTTTTCCGAAGAGTGGGGACTATTCCGCCAGGAATCGAAGCACAGAGGAGGGAAGCCGCGGTCCCAGCCCAGCAGACCCGTCCCAGAGGCGAAGCCACCTCTCGCGACGCTGGGACCCGCCGGGCCTCCCGCTGCCGCCGCCGCAGAAATCCCGGAAACCGTCCGCTCCCGGCGGGCGCCGTGGAAAAGGTGACCTCAGCGCCCGAGGCCAGCCGCCCTCTCCCGCGGCGGCTACGCGGGGCTGGGGGCAGCGGGGGCCCGGCGCCACGCGGACGCCGGTGGGCTCGGTCACCGCGGCCTCTCAGCCCCCCGCACCTGGAGCCGCGAGGAGGCGGCGACGCGGGAGAAGGGGAGCCCCTCCCTAATCGAAACCCTCAGTCTGGGGGCGCAGGTTTCAGACCCTGCCCTGTCCCGGCGCAGCTCCTCCTCCTCCTCCTCCTCCTCCTCCTCCTCCTCCTCCTCCTCTTCCTCCTCTCCTCCTCCTCCTCCTCCTCCCATCTCTTCCTCCTCCTCCTCCTCCTCCTCCTCCTCCTCCTCCTCCTCCTCCTCCTCCTCCTCCTCCTCCTCCTCCTCCTCCTCCTCCTCTGGCCCTCTCGTGCGGTTCTGAATTATAGGGGAGGGGGTGAGCCCCTGAAGGGTGGGGACGGGAGTCCGGAAGAGGGAGGCCAGGTGGGGGCCTGGGTCTAGGATGCTTCAGCTTGGCCTTCGGGGTCCGGCTCCTTCCAGTCCCCTCCCGACCCTCGCCCGTTTCCTGCGTCCCCTCCGGGCAGCAGCGGGTTTATCCTTTACTCAGTCACACTGAGTCGGGGCTGGAATTGGGGGGGCGGGGGACGGTTTCTTCTGGATCGATGGGCTGCGACCGCCCAGAGCTGCCCGCGGGGAGCCCCCGCCCCCGTGGACGGACCGGGAAGTCGAGCCCCGCTGGGCCCCGCCGGCCTGGCTCCCGCAGCCCGGTGCCCGCGGTGGCGTCCGCGCCTGGAAGTGAGCTCCCTCCTTTTGCCTCCTTTCCGTCGGCCTTCGGGTCCCTTCGCCTCCGGCCCGGCCGGCAGGGGTGGTGACGGCTCGGGGAGGGGGGGGGGTGCCACGCAGCGGGTGGTCTTGGCGACTCCGAGAGCAGCGCCGGGGGCTCGAGCGCCTGGACCTGAGTTTGGCAACGCAGCCCTGCCCTCCAAACGGGACTCAGGGCGCAGCTCCAATTCGCGCCGTGACCTTCCCGTTGGGAAGGGGGTCCCTGCGACGCCTTCCTGTGTGCGTTTCCCGCCAGGTGTGGACTTTTCGTTTTGATTCATTTCCAACCCTGTGAGCTCCAGGCTCGCATCGCGTTTAGGGCCGGCGTCCTAAGACACGCCCCTCCCGCTCCCGCTGCACGTAATTTACAAGTCTGTTCCTTTGGAATTGGTGACTTCGCTTTCTAACTTTTGTTTTTTGCTTTATTACTATTTTTTAAATGCGACATTTTACTTAGAAGGGTGCGTTTTAAAAGGTGCATCGGCAGACAACAACTGCTTTGACCCATAGAAAACCGGTTCTTGGTGGACCCAGGGCGATTCTGCTGGACGTAGCGCGGCACCCGGCCCCTCCCTGGGCGGTTCCCGCCTCTATTTCGCGCCCACACCTCCGTGGGCCCTGAGGCTCTCGCTGCGACATCGGATCGGAGTCCTGGAGGCCACACTGCGGGGCAAGGAGGTCGCGCCGAGGACCCTCCCAGAACGCGCCCAGCCTGCGCGGTGAGCGCCGGGCGCCCGAGAAGAGGGTGCCGAGGCCGGGAAGCCGGGTCTGACCCCCACCCGGGCTGGGGGCGTCCAGGCCTCCTGGGGAGAGCGAGGATGCTGTTGGCGACTCCATCCTGGCAGGTGCCAGGCCGTCAGCGCGCCCGGGTCGGGTCGCTGCGAACCTGAATCCGCGGGCAGCCGGTGCGAGGAGCCTCCGCCAAGTGCGAGAAGAGCCCCCTGAGGGAGGC